TTAGTTTCTAAGCACATTTCCTCATGAGTTAAAACTTTTTCTTCTTTGAGGATTTATTGAATTATTTCTGGTACACAATGTTAGGAGAATGTATCTCCTACTTACCATATTTCTAGAACTGTGGCAATATGGTGGACACATGTAGTTACTGCCCTCAAGGGATTCATAATCTAGTGGAGGAAGACTTATTGGAAAAGAGCTGTCTGGATTAGCCTAATCTGACACCCTTCTTTTGAATGGTTCATATCCCCGAGAGCAGCTGTTCTCTTTCATAGACTCAGTAGCCCCTGTGTACCTGATTTCTAAAGTGCTTTCTCAGTGTTGCCCAAAGTTGTCCAAATTCCATCTGTGAGGAAGTTAGGAGTTGCTGACTGTTAAGGTGGTCATAGGTATTGGTGAAGGAACCTGCAGAAAGATCCAGAAAAGCGTAAGTCCATGATGCTTGGGAAGGACCACCAATCAAAGTACCAACAATCTAAGTAGAAAGTACCAACGATCAAATGAAGTCAGGAGTTACAAACCAGCCAGAAACTGGAATGGAGCGGAAGCAGGCTAGAGATACAGACAAATGCTGTGGAAAACTTGCCTGTTGTATGTAGCGGCCCTTTACTAGCATTTGGGCAGGAGGTTTGTATCAGGATACAGGGTTGAGGCAGACACCAAATAATGAAAACATGGTTTATCTGTTAGGATAGCTTTTAGTCACACATAGAAAATTTATCTAACAGGCTTAAACAAATAGGAGTTCTATTTATCTACTCAAAGTTAGTGTGTGACAAGCCAAACTCATCACTTTGTTTTCTGTCTTTTGCTGAACCATGAGGAGGAAGCACAACATAATGGAAAGACAGGGGATCTGGTCCAAATGTCAGATCTGTCAGTTAGTTCCCATCTTGTTTCTTGAAATTTTCAAGGACTCTTGGTTGCAAGTAAAAGAACTCAACTCAAACTGACTTATGTTTTAAAAAGAGATTATATTGGATCACCTAACAGCAACATGCAGGGGCTAATGTGCTTCAAGCGTATTCTAGACCCAGATAGCCAAGCATCATCAGATATCTCTTTCCTCCTTCTTCTATAAGCTCTGCTGTGCACATTATTACTTCATTCTTGTGTGGGCTCTCCCAACATTGTGGCCGTGGGTTGGTGGGTCCCCAAAGAAAAATGAGTGCTGGAATAAAAAGAAGGAAAAATTAATGTTGGGCAGGCAAAAACTGTCACTATACTAATAATAATGCTTTCCTCACATTCCACTTATGGTAAGAATTGAATGAGAAAGTACAAATTAAAAGAGTAACGTAATGTAATGAGTTGGTTATTTTCCAGGATACTCAGCTTTGTGTCCTCTTTGATGCTGTCCTTTTTTTTCCATCCCCAAATTCAAACATCCTTGAGTAACCATGTATTTTGAAGTTGTAAAAATTATTTGGTAGCATTTAAGAACTAGTAACTTTCAGGGGCACCTGGGTGGCTCAGTGGTTGAGTGTCTGCCTTTGGCTCAGGTCGTGATCCTGGGGTCCTGGGATCCCGGGATCGAGTCCTGCCTCGGGCTCCCCACAGGGAGGCTGCTTCTCCCTCTGCCTGCATCTCTGCCTCTCCCTCTGTGCCTCTCATGAATGAATAAATGGAATCTTAAAAAAAAAAAAAAAACAACCTAGTAACTTTCAAATAAAAATCAAGATTTCTGACTGTTCTGATACATAGTAAGATTTGGCCACAATCAACTGTGCCACATTGTGGTTCCCCCTCTTAAGAGGCAGATACTGCCCAATCTGCCCCCAGACCAGTCCTTGGAGACATCTGGGATTCTTCTCGTATCTTCACAGCCTCATGCCCTACCACTTTTCTCTAGAAACCTCCTACCTTCTGCCCAGTACCTTCACTCCCAAGGCTTTGCCCAAAGGCCTTTCCTTGTCCTCCTCATCAGTCCAAATTCCATCCATCCTTCAAGGCTAATAAAGTACCAGGACTCATCCCAGTTCTCAGAGCTCTGTCTTCTAGGTAAGGACATGTTGTGTATAAGGACATCCAGTGACAACCAGGACTGCACTGGCTGTGAGCCCCTAAGTGGTTGTGAGTGCAGCCACGGGCACTGTAAAAGAGACAGGGATGTACAGAGAAATGTCAGAGGCAAGCGATGACACCATCCCTGAGATAGAAGACAAATAGGAATTGAACAAACAAAAAAATTATTGAAAAATGCATTTATCATCTACCTTGAAACAAGCCTCTGTATTTATAATTCAAAATATAGGAACACACAAAATGTGCTCTTTTACTGCAAGCTGCCTTTAAAGAATTGTTTGATAGCACAGCTTTGTTTTAGAAGTAAAAGTGTCCGTCACCCAGTCACCCCATCCCCCCGCCCACCTCCCCTTCCACAGGCACTGAGGGGGGCACTTGACGGGATGGGCACTGGGTGTTATACAATATGTTGGCAAATCGAACTCCAATTTTAAAAAATTACAAAAAAAAATAGAAGTATAAGTGCCAAGGTGGTGTTCAGGGCTTTCTCTGTAGGCTTAAAAGAGACTTGTGAGTAGGAATTCTGGTACAGTTAGGATAAGAAGGCTGAAAAGTGATTTCCCATGACTGAGGGATGAGGTGCTTCTTCATTTCGTTTTAATTCGCTCTTTTGGTAAAATAGCATTTGGAGATTGTATTCAGAGAACTAATAATAGAACAATTGAATCTGCAAAGTTCTCATCGTTGTGGTCAAATGGGAGTAAACAGTGTGTAGTGTAAGTAGTGTCCTATGATTCAGAGAGTAATAATAGCATGATTTCGCCATTCAAAAAAGTATCCAGTATAGCAATTTAGATAACAGGGATGTGACTGGCCTCTCATTTTTAACGTCTGAGTTAAAAAAGAATCAAGTATAGCATAATATGATTTCAACTAAGTGAAATTGTTTCCATATATGTGGAAAAGGATCATAAGGTAGGTATTCACAAATTAAAATAGCTTTTGTATTAAGGAGGCTTATAGGTGATTTTCATACACATTTTAAAGGTATTTAATTTTGTCACATTCTCTGTCAACTAAAAGAGGATATCCACCCACCTGGAAGAAAGGAATGTTGTCTTCTTAATTTCTGGCTTAAGGAAAACTGACATATCACTTTCTAGGCACCAGAGAACTAGGAGGTGAAAGGGGATGCTTTAAGTGCAAACTCACCTTTGCAGTTCTCACTTATATTTTGCCCAGCAAAATCTATTTGGTTCTTTAAAGGTGTCACACTGCCCCCTGGTGTTCAATAAACTAAAATGTAAACTATCAAACGTCTACTACATTTTCTTTCTGTATTTTCTGAATTATCAAGACCATGAGGGAGCAACAGAGAGAGAGAGAGAGAGAGAGAGAGAGAGAGAGATACCTTGAATATAAATTTGTGGGTATTCTAAAAATATTTTATATTTTTAAAATAGCCTTTATTTACAATGTCACTTTTTTATTTTTTTAAAAGCCTCTGATGGGCAGACTTACTAGCTTTAGGTGCCCTCCAGTGGCAGAACTTGTTAGAAGGACTCTGGGAGACCCTAAGTGCTTCAGAGGATGTCAAAATTATTGACAATTTCCAAGTTTGCTACTCCCTACTAAGATGGGTCCCTGAAGAAGCAATGGGACTACCAAACTCTTACAGAACTTTCTTTGAGATTCTGTTTAAAATCTTTAAACCGGGACGCCTGGGTGGCTGAGAATTTGAGTGTCTGCCTTTGGCTCAGGGTGTGATCCCAGGGTTCCAGGATCAAGTCCTGCATCGGGCTCCTTGGGGGGGGTGGGCTACTTCTCCCTCTGCCTATGTCTCTGCCTCTCTCTCTCTCTGTGTGTCACTCATGAATAAATTAATAAAACCTTTTAAAAAATAAAATAGACTAAAATCTTTAAACCAAAGAAAAATAAATAAATAAACAAATAAATAAGGTTGTATTTTGAGCAAGGATTGTATAATAAAATAGTAATCACATATAATCCAAAACACAGCCATATCCTTCTTTAATAGGGTCTGAATTGCATATATAATTTGGAGTGCCCCTTAAAAAAACCCAAAAGATATCTACTTTTGCAATTTTTTAGAAAAATATTTCATTTATATATTCATGAGAGACACAGAGACATAGGCAGAGGGAGAAGCAGGCTCCCTGAGGGGAGACAAATGTGGGACTCAATACTAGGATCCTGGGATCATGACCTGAGCTGAAGGCAGATGGTCAACCACTGAGCCACCCAGGTGCCCCCTATTTTTATAATTTTTAAAAAAAGATCTTTTATATTTATTTGAGCGAGAGCACAAGCAGGCAATGGCAGAAGGAGAGGGGAAAGCAGCCTAGCCATGGAGCAGGGTGCTCCATGGGGGGCTCAATCCCTGCACCCCCTGGGGACTGTGACCTGAGTCAAAGGCAAATGCTTAACTGACTGAGCCATCCAGGCACCTCTACTTTTGCAATTTTGTACAAACCATGAAGAGCCCCTCTTGGAAGGGTCTTGGAAGAAACCCCTGGCCTGTAAGAGCCCCTGAAGCTTATGCTTCATAGCGTCAGAGGAAATTGGCCTCTGATCCAAAAGTATTGGCACCCTCTAGAGCTGCATTGTAATCACTGTCTAGAGCCTAGGGCGGACAGATTTTGGCACAGAAGAGTCTTTCAATAAAGTTATATTAGTGCATGAGTAAGTGATATGTCAGCCTATTTATTATTCTCATTTGAAATATAGGATGAGAAATGGAAATATCTTGCATTCTGTAAATCAAAGTGCAAACTAGCTTCACTTTGATGACTCTAAGATGACCTTTGTAGACTAATTTAGCGTAGTGGAGCCTGTGAACGTGAAACCAGTCAAATAGAGAAACAGTACAGGTCTTCTGATTTCCTCTGTCACATTCTATGTGTTACATTTTCTGTCTCCAAAGCCAATTCCTTCAGATTCCTTGTGCTTTTCTGAGTCTGTGGGCTGAGACTAGGTACTGACGGTGCATGTGCTGTTTTGTTTTGTTTTTCTAGCATTCAGCGGGCCTGGCGGGAGTACCTGCAGCGGCAGGATCCCCTGGAGAAGAGGAGCCCATCCCCACCCTCTGTGTCCTCAGAGAAGCTGAGCAGCTCCGTCAGCATGAACACCTTCTCAGACAGCAGCACCCCCGTGAGTGCCATGTTTCCTTTTCATGGCCTAACTGGCCAATCATTTATTTGATCACCAGGTCTTTGGTTCCAAGGAAGAAATCTTGAGATGTGAGCAGGTGGTTTGTTGTTAGGAGAATCTGCATTGCTTACTTGCTATATTTGAACCCATGGTGAGGGTTCTGTCGTCTTAGAATAGAGACATGATTACTAAGCACAAAATATACTTCATCAAGCCTGAGAGAATCGATTCCATTTGACCTCAGCCTAAACTACTCATTTGCATGTTTGCATTTCTCTATTACCATCTTTTTCCTTTCCTTTGTAAAGGTGTGTTTCCTTTAGTCTGTGCCTCTGGTGGAGCTTTGTGGTGCTAATATGATAGAAGATTAGCTTGGTTATAAGGATTATAAAAGAGAACTTATATAGGAAGAATTGAAAGGAGTCACAAACTCAGGGGTTGTGACTTAAATGCCTACAGGGGCCAGGTAGGAAACCCATGTGGCTACTCTGTGACTAGTACTGAAGAACACAGGCCTTACCTAAAGGGTAAGGAGAATGGATATGTTGCTTGGATATGTTCCTGGTTCCTGGATATGTTGCTATGTGGGGATGCAGGACAGACACTGCCAAATGTGATTTCTTCCTTCAAGGGATGCCGGAAATTCAGATTTTTAAATGTTGGCAACTAGTAAAAAAATTTTAATGTCACTAGACCATGCCTACAGATCACAGTTGTCCAAAGGCCACCTGTTAAGGGTTAAGGAATGGGAACCTCTGCTGAAAATTTGTATTAAAAAAAAAAAAACAGACAAACATATCAAATGTGGTAGGAAATAAATGATTAGGCAACTGTATTACTACAGAGATTTTTGAATATGGCCATTGTGATTATGTATGATAGTGACTGGAATACACAGAAAGAAGTTGGGAAAAGAAAGGAAGTAACCATACAAGTGTATTATTTTAAAAAAAATATATTTCTTGACTACTTTGTGATCATGTTTATTCATTGGTAAAAAGGCTCCCCAGTGGCCAAAATGATGTATTCACACTGGGATCAAGCAAAGGTTGCTTTGACATGTTTTCAGATGATTGCATAGCATGTTCTTTAATGAACGGCTTTATCTGTTATGGATTCTAAAGAGAGAGCAATAACTTGAGTGCAAGTAACAGTACCAGAAGATCTATTTTTTAGCAGATACCAGAAATTGAATACTCAGTGAATCTGTGCCTTTTTTAAGACAATTTTTAGGGGAGTAGTGATTTGTCTGAACCGGTCTCATGATCACTAGAGGGCACTGATGAGCCACATTGGAAAATGTCAAAGTAAAGCCTATTTATGTCATGATTTGCAAGTCAAAAATAATATGAAAATGGAGTGTTTAGGATGCCTTTGCTGTGAATAACAATAGAATTCATTTAATAGAAATTAAATGACTGAAAATTTTATCTGAATGATGGAAACTGAGTATCTGAAATCATTCTACCTAAGAGTTAAAGGTTTGGATTTACTGCCTTTGTACTTTCTCATTAGCCCCGATTCCTGACGGTATGAAACCATTGCTGTGTCCAGTGATACATGATGGTTTTAGTGTTGCTGTAGGGTAGCTAACCTCTGGGCTTTATTGAAATTCTGGAATAATCTATGGGTTGTTGTTGTTGTTTGTTTGTTTTTTTAATATATTTACCCTGCCACACCACTTATATTCTAGCCCCTTAAGTATTGGTGTGCATAAATGCACATTCTATCCCCATGGACCATCACATAAGTGTGAAGTGCGATATCTTTTGCACAGCTTTGCTAACAGTTCTACCTTATTTAATTTAGCCTGGCCTCTAGGTCCCCTGATGTTTCTTAGTAAAGCAGATTTCCTCTCTCACATGTCCTCAGCAATTTGGTTTCCTATAAGGTGTCTCAGAATGAATTGGGAGTGGCATCCTGTTCCACTACTGTATCATCGTGCCTTGTCTCTGTGTTCATGGGACCAGGATAACTCTCTTCATTATGTGCAAGTCTCACTCAACTCCTGATTGCCTGTAAACAGTGAGAATCAAAAACATTTTCAAAAAACATTATTGGAATTAGCTTCAGAAAGCAAGCAGATCCTGTCCAGAATTCTAGTAGAGGTTATTGACTATAACAACTTTGGCATTGATGGTGGCAGTAGCATGACACTAAATATGCAAAACAAAATATGAAAATATAAGTTGCTGGAACATCCCCGAGTCTCTAGTTTGTCAAGCAGGTAAAATATCCAATATATAACTTTTTAAAACTTTATTTTAGTTGTTTGGAGCTGGTATATCTAGCTAAGGTTGTTCTATTTCTCATAATCATCACTTTGCTGGGACCTCTTTCAGTAGATTCACTCTTACATCTTTTGGTCGTCATAGTCCCATGAAAGCAAAGTGTCTCTGCTCCGCCTTGATCAGTCTACCAGACCCACTGGGTTCATACATACTCTCAGGGAGTTCCAAATAGGAAGGCTTGATTTTAACTACTCTCTGATGAGTAGACCTGAAGTTTATGGAGGGGATAAGGATGATCCCTGGCCCACCTGGGCTAAGGCTGTCATAAAGAGAGGAGTTTTCCCTAATAACCAATGAGTCCATTTGGAACTTCAGGGGTAAAAGCCTTCAGTCCAAGTCAAATGTTTCCAATAAGGTGTTTCCGTAGGTGATTCTCTGGGACCCTAATTCCTATCAGATATCTCCAGCTTGCTGAACTCAGCCCTCTTTCTCTGGGCTTGGTCTGTCACTGTTGCTGCCTAGACCATTCTCTGTCTTCCTGAATTTGATCAGCTGCCTGTCTTGTCCCAACTACTAGCCCTCTACTGTCCTCCAACACAGCCTCAATTGGAGACCAGTCTGCCCTTGTCTAACCCCTGGGTCTTTCTAGCTCTGCCTCATGTCTATCATAACTGCAATTATTGCCCATAGTAGCTGTCTTCCCCATGCATGTGCTACATGGGAAGCCAGCAACCTGAGCTGGGTGAGTCCCTGTGCTGAGCTGAGAATGATGCTCTTGCATGCTTTTTCTCTCTTTTGGCCAATGGTTGATATAGTAGTTCTGAGAATATTTCTGCTCTAAAATATATTAGAAAGTTATGTTTCAGTATGAGCTCTCAAAATCATCATCTTAATAAGAGCTGCTGCACTTGTTATGTGACAGACACCTTGCTAATGCTTTCTGTGGATTATTTCATTTAATCTTCTCACTGACCATATAAAGGAGGTATATTATTATCTCCGTTGTACAGATGATGAAAATGAGACCTAAAGAAATAACTGACTTGCCTTGAGTTACTCATTGGGCTGGAGCCATCATGTACACTATTCTTCTATATTATACCACTTGAAAATAAGCCTTCATTTAGACATAGTCAAGCAGAGGAAGAAATAACCTGTGTATCAATCCATTTTTAAGATTGTTCCACAATTTAGTATGTATCAACAGTGAATGAAATAATTGAGAAAAGAATCCTCATTTGGTTTTATAAATTGACACATTCAGTGCTCTTTGATTAAAACCCCAAACCTCAGCTGCTCAGTGCCAAATTAAACATCAACAGGAGGGAAGATTTATATGAAGTTATGTTAGTAATTTGCATATTAAATATCCTCATATCACAGTGTATCATGAGATAACAGAAAATTTATTTTAAAAATAGCAATTTTGAGTACAAGTTATTTTGAAATGGAGCTTGTGGTTATCAAAGTGAGAAAAAACTTTTTATCATAAAAGTATTAGTTATTGAGTGGAGTACAATAGTGTAAATGATTTGTGTATTCTTTATTAATCAATTTCATATGACTAAGTGCTTATTCTTTTAGTTCTCAGCTCTGAAAAATCTGTATTTGTCTAATAGAATATCATGGACAGAATTCTAAATGATTTGGTAACCCTTTCACAAATCATTAGCATATGTCTCAGATAAATTCAGAAAATCTTTGGATTGTTTGGAGACATTTTCAATCCCATTTGGCTCTAATTGGTTCTGTCTGCCTGAACCTGCCTTCCTGGCTTATTCCCATGGGTTCCCATGTTATGGTATGGCCTGTAGGGGGCTCTGTGGCTCATGGAATGAGGCCTTGGCTTAGTGAGAGGCTGTGACTTAATAGTAGTAGCTCTGCCACTATTTCTCTGAGTTTGAGATGTACCACTTGAGAGATCATTCTTCATCTGCAAACTGGACACCCACCTTAGAGACGGAATTGTATCTCTATGAATATTAAATGGCACTACATATGTAAGACATAGCACAGTGTGGGACCCAGAAGGCTCTCAATAAATGTTAGTGGATTCTGTATCTGCCCTTGGAAACACTCCATGTGTTCAAAACTCTGCAAAATTTGTGAAGAGCAGAAGTGGAATTTTTAACTCTATTCACATTGAAGGGCACATTGCTTGCTATATATATATATATATATATATATATATATATATATATATATATATACACACACACACACAGATATATATGTATGTTCCGAGATTGGACCTGTACATTACAAAAGTAATACATCAAGCATTTGTTTTTCTTTCTTTCTTTCTTTTTTCTTTTTTTTTTTTTTTTTGCGTCTCAATGAGTAGGCCTCTTCTGAGAGACCACACCCATGTACATAGTAAAAGCAAGCCTAGGTCACTCTGCTCCCTTCAGATCTGGGGAAAAAGAAACGGGGATCTGTAGCATGTTGGGGGTGAACAGGGTTATGTGGCCTCACTTCTCAGATAAGTCAATGCAAAAGCACCCTTCCAGCAGACATGACAGCCTGCACAACTCCAGCCACAAGGCCTCCTCACTTCACTCCTGGTCAGGAAGAATATAGTTCTGAGCAGGTGCAAAGATCAGTGGTCTGGACCAGCTAAAGACCCCATTATTTCAGTTGTCTTGGAGAGAAGTCAACGGAGCTCTCCTATGTTTGGGGCTGCTTGGATTACCCTAGCTTTTAGCAAGAGTAGCTGGATAGTTAGCAATAGGCAGCCAGGTGATCCACCACACCTTCCCAATTGGGTATGCTATCAAAAGCCTGTACTGCTTCTGTCTACCAAACATGACACGTACACCTGCATTCAAACTGCTTTATTACCCTCAAGTTTTACTACCCATTTTGAGATTTACAACTTCCAGCTTCAAATACATCAGGAAAAATCCTAGGAGTAAAAGGATAAAGGCTTCTTACAAAGTCACACTTGTTTTGAGGGGGAGCTCGGATCCTAAAAGAGGATTACCTGGGACTTCTTCCAGTGCAGTCTTGAAAGCTATGAAATTGTAGAGAATGTAAGCCTTGTGCTACTTAATAATTTAATAACCTAGATTTTCCAGGTCAGGGACAAGTTACAGTATTATGTCCAGCTGTTGTTATAAACTTAGGTCCTGTGAGTTTTAATGTTCAGAACCCAAACTCTATCTTTTATCCAGCCTCTCAAACCCCAAAATAGCACAAATTGTCAGTCTGTTCCTCCCAAATTTTGGTTCAGAGAATATAGTAATCATATGTAAAAAGAGAAGACTTCTTGGTATTTACATAAAAGTAGATTTAATTCTCTTTTCTTCAAACTAGAGTCTTAGAGAACAAAATTTTCCCCCAAAGTTTTAGAAATTACATTGTGCAATATATAACCATAAATGACAGTTTGAATTGATAAATTTTTGTTATCTCTATGCCAAAATACTCCTTTTTATGTCTTTGAATATTGATTGGTATAGATTCTTTTTCCTAAATTAGCCTTTCAAGTTAAGGATTTGAGGACATTGTTCTCAATAGATTTAAAAATAAGTCTGTTGTTTGGGGATTACATTTTTTTTTTTGAGGACTGCTAATACTGATCATTTTCCAGGTTCAGATTGATTTGCAAAATCGACAATTTCTTGTTTGATATCTGACTCACTCATCCATAGTAATATAATCAATCCTCCTCAGTAGTCTCAAAGTTGTTGACCTTTAAGCATAGACGCAAAGGCATTAAGCATCTCACTTTTGCTAAAAAGAGTTGAGAAGGAACTTGTTTTCTTTCCACTTGACTTCAAGTTCAGTCTGAGTATTTGTCCTCATGTAGATCCTGTCCTTATTCTACAGCTTTGGTGAGATACAGTGTTAAGTCCCCTTATTTAGACTCAGAGTGCACCCATGTCATAAAATCCAGTTCAGTATTACAAATCAGTATTTCACTCATTGAGTGAGTATGAAAGATGCTTTAGGGTCCAAGAAGAAGTTGGATATGGTAGCACTAGAGTAAGATCTACTATTATTTTCATTTTATTCTAGAAACTTTTGCTTGAGGCTCTTCTGGACTTTCTCTCTGTCAGTAAGACATCATTGGGGAGGAGGGTAGTTATTCATATCCCTAGATTGGGTCTATATCATCTGTTCACTCATTCAACAAATATCTGAGTGCTTACTGTGTGCTGGGCCTTTGCCAAGCACTGGAGATACAATCACCCAAATAATGGTGCCTGGGTGGCTCAGTGGTTGAGTGTCTGTCTGCCTTTGGCTCAGGTCGTGATCCTAAGGTTCTGGAATGGAGTCCCGCATCAGGGTTCCCACAGGGAGCCTGCTTCTCCCCCTGCCTATGTCTCTGCCTCTCTCTCTCTCTGTGACACTCATGAATAAATAAATAAAATTAAAAAAAAACATCATCCAAATACACATATCCTCTGCCCTTACCTAATTTACATAATTCCCCAGTAGTGGTTGGCAATTCTTGTCACAGTTGCACTGGTTAATTATAGGAGATAATAGTATTTTATTAATCAATATTATAGAAGGTTTTAGGTATTATTATTATTAATAAAAATCCAACTGCTGAAATATTTTCTAGAGCAGAATTTTCCATAATGTGGTACCCGAAATATTAGTTTCATAGGATATTGATGGTTGTTAATTGCAGGAAGGGTGAAATAAGCTAAATTATTTATATCAGGACCTCTTAGAGCCTTCCCAAGCTAATACACATCTTGAATTTGTGGGAGGAGTGGTGGGCTGTTACTGTTTTTCATGTTTCTCAAACTTCTTTGGCCATGAAACCCAATAAGAATCACATCTTGGGATGCCTGGGTGGCTCAGTGGTCTAGGGCCTGCCTGCCTTCAGCCCAAGGCATGATCCTGGAGTCCCAGGATTGAGTCCGATGTCAGGCTCTCTGCATGGAGCCTGCTTCTCCCTCTCCCTCTGCCTCTGCCTCTGCCTGCCTCTCTCTCTGTGTCTCTCATGAATATATATATTTCAGAACCACAGCAGATCTATTACATCAGAATATCTGAGAAGAGGCCTGAGATTCCATATTTTTTTAAAAAATGCTCCAGGTAATCCTCATCATCATTAAAGTATAAAAAAAGCAGAATGTTATAGGAATTGCAATAAAAGGTATTAAATTTTATTTGGTAACCTTACATAAATAGAACACACAGGTGATTGATATTTCCTCCATTTTTTATTTCAACGTTTTATCATGGCATACATCTACATGGGGAGGTGCTGAAGCATCTTTTTCCTGATCTGATACCAAAACAATTACTATTGTTTTAGTGGAATTTTTCCAGTGGCACTGGTTGTATAGAAAATCCCATCTTCTCTTCTTAGGACTTGTGGTTCTGTCAAAAATGTG